ACTGGAATTGCTGCATCCCGGTTGGGATCGCCGCATCCAGACTGGGATTGCTGCATTCTCACTGGGATTGCTGCATTCTCACCGGGATTGCTGCATCCCAGTYGGGATCGCYGCATCCAGACTGGGATTGCTGCATTCTCACTGGGATCACTGCATCCCGGCTGGGATTGTTGCCTCCCGGCTGGGATCGCTGCATCCCACTCTGTGTTTGCTGCATCCCGCTTGGAGCGGGGCTCAGTGCTGCCCTCCTGCCCTGTGTCTCCCATAGGGTGAGCAGGGTCTGCAGGGACCCCCAGGACAAGCGGGACCCCCCGGCCCCCTGGTAAGTGACGCAGGCAGCCGCGGGGGCCCCGGCGTCCGGGCCCTGCTCCATGCACGGCCTCACGCCATCGGCATCTCCCGCAGGGTCCCGTGGGATTGCCCGGCCTCAAGGGAGACCCCGGGCACAAGGGAGACAAGGTGAGCGTGGGAATGGGAGCGGGGGGGGGGGCACGGTGTCCCCCCCATTCCCTGTGCCGGGCAGGGGGCTCCTGACATTCCCGGTGTTCCCAGGGCCACGCTGGACTCATCGGACTCATCGGACCGCCGGGAGAGATGGGGGAGAAGGGAGACCGGGGGCTGCCGGGCCCCCAGGGCCCCCCYGGCCCCAAGGGAGACCCCGTGAGTAGGTGGGGGGCTCATCCCGGTGCCAGGAATGTATGGGGGGGACGGGGCTGACGCGGCCTCTCCGCAGGGCTCGGCTGGACCCGCCGGACCCACCGGCCCCCCGGGACCCCCGGGGCTCTCGGTGAGTTCCCACATCCAGCTGCTCATCCCTGCATCCCGGGGAATCCCTGGAATGCCGGGGGCGGGGCGGTTCCCACCTGCCCACCCTCTCTCCACAGGGCCCCCTGGGCCAKAAGGGCTCCAAAGGCTCTCCGGTGAGTGCCGGGATGCAGCTCCACGGGAGCATCCCGCGGGAAAGCGCCCCGGATCCGCGGGATCGGCCCCGTGGCCGCCCGCCAATTCCAGTCGCTTGCAGGGCGCGCTGGGCCCCCGAGGAGACACCGGCCCCCCCGGCCCCCCGGGACCCCCGGTGAGTTTGGGGGGGATTTGGGGACGATTGCGGCAGGGCCGGCCGCTCCGTGACGCGGCGCGCGCCGCAGGGCCGCCCCGCGGAGCCGCTTCCCGCCCGGAGGCGCCGGGAAGCCCCCGGAGCGCCGGGCGGCCTCCAGGAGGTTCTGGCCTCGCTGGGCTCGCTGCGCGCCGAGCTGGAGCAGCTGCGGCGCCCGCGCGGCACCGCACAGAGCCCCGCGCGCGTCTGCCGCGAGCTGCAGCTCTGCCACCCCGGCCTGCGCGACGGTGAGCGCGGACGCGACGGGAGCCCGCGGAGGGGGACGGGGCGCCGTGGATGGGGACGGGAGCCCACGGATAGGAATGGGACCCCATGGATGGGGATGGGATCCCACGGATAGGAATGGGACCCCATGGATGGGGATGGGATCCCATGGATAGGAATGGGACCCCATGGATGGGGATGGGATCCCACGGATAGGACAGGACCCCACGGATAGCACTGGACCCCACGGATAGCACGGGACCCTGTGGATGGGGACGGGACCCCACGGATAGCATGGGACCCCACGGATAGGACGGGACTCTGTGGATGGGGACGGGACCCCACAGATAGGACAGGACCCCACGGATAGCACTGGACCCCACGGATAGCACGGGACCTGTGGATGGGGACAGGACCCCACGGATAGTACGGGACCCCATGGATAGCACAGGACCCTGTGGATGGGGACAGGACCCCACGGATAGTACGGGACCCCACGGATAGCACGGGACCCTGTGGATGGGGACGGGACCCCACGGATAGCACGGGACCCCACGGATAGGGATGAGACCCCACGGACAGGGACAGGACCCCGTGGACAGGGATGGGACCCCGGAGACGGGACAGGTCCCCATGGATGGGGACAGGACCCCACAGATGGGAATGGGACCCCATGGATGGGATGGGACCTTGTGGATGGGAAGGGACCCCACAGACAGGGATGGGACCCTGTGGTGGGGAACAGGACCCTGCAGATGGGAATGGGACCCCACGGATGGGGATGGGACCCTGTGGATGGGGATGGGACCCTGTGGATGGGGATGGGACCCCACGGATGGGAACGGGACCCCATGGATGGGACGAGACCCCATGGATGGGGACGGGACGACGGGGATGGGACCCCGTGGATGGCGACGGGACCCCGCAGATGGGACGGGACCCTGTGGATTGGGATGGGACCCTGCGGATGGAATGGGACCCTGGGGATGGGGATGAGACCCCATGGATGGGAGCAGGACCCCATGGATGGGGACAGGACCCTGCGGACATGGACGGGGACGGGACCCCATGGACGGGGCCCCGCAGTGGGTGCTGGTCCCCCCCGCCACCGCCCCCGTGCCCCCCGCGCAGGCGAGTACTGGATCGACCCCAACCAGGGCTGCTCCCGCGACGCCTTCCGCGTCTTCTGCAACTTCACGGCCGGCGGCGAGACCTGCCTCTTCCCGGAGAAGAGGCTGGAGGCCGTGAGTGCGAGCGGGAGGSAACGGGGGCTGCACCGGCCCCCCGGAGCCGTCCCGGCCCCCCGCATTCCCAGGCCCCTGCTGCTGCATCCCGGGTGAAAGGGGGGGTCAGGGATCGCTGTACCCCGTGCCAAGGGGGCTGGGGGCTGGAGGGGCTCCCCTTCATCCCAGATCTTCCTCTGCCAGGTTCGTCTTGCTGCCTGGAACAGGGAGAAGCCGGGAACGTGGTACAGCACCTTCAGGAGGGGCAGGAAGGTGGGAGCCGGGGCGGATGGAGCTGGGGGCAGATGGAGCAGGGGTGGATGGAGCAGGGGTGGATGGAGCCAGCATGGATGGAGCTGGGAGTGGATGGAGCTGGGATGGATGGAGCTGGAGCGGATGGAGCTGGGGTGGATGGAGTCAGGAGTGGATGGAGTTGGGGCAGATGGAGCCAGGGA